GTCAACCAGGCCCTTTTATGCGCGCCGACACTTTATCTTATCTTATCTATGCTATCCTAGATGGGTATCGATGTGATACACGAATAATCTGATGTCTATATGTATTGTACATGCTTCACACGCGTCTAAGGCCAGACTGTGTGCTAAATAACTCACGATAAAATAATCTTCGGAAAAAAGAACAAAGTCCATGAATGCTTTTGTGCCCGTAATACTGGCAGTGTGCCCAGACGAACGTAAGTGAATTCCTTTGGGGGATTCAAAACCAGAGCCTTCCGATAGCCAAAAATTGTGATCCGCAAGTAGCACAGCGGTGATTGTTTAAACCATAATGCGTTCAGTTCGACGCATCATACGCTTGTTGGACGAGTCAAAACGCTCAAGGTATCCGATACACCTCCATGACTAAATGCGTCATTGACCAGTCCCATGATCGGGAAGGCGCGGTTTTGTCTTTCAGGCATCATGTCCGACTAATTTTTATACTCGTCATTTGCCCATTCTTTCGAGTCCTGGAATGATTTTTTTTGGATCACGTCCTCGTTTTGTTTAATTATACTATTTTCAGACACAACAGATACGTTGTACGATAAAACAAAAATCATTGCATATCTGCAATGTACCAGTACTCGTCATTTGATTTTACCTAGGGTGGATCGTTAAAGGCTAAAAGCTTACAAAATCATCCGACGGTCTTTGGGTCTTTCCTCGCGTGAGACATATTTATCAGTCTTTGTAAGCTCTCCGTATCATTAAGAGCAATAAATCGACCATTACTGATCGACATTTACAATACCTGAAAAAACCGCAAGCGTAATAAAACAGAAGAGCACTTCCTTTTGAATCACGAGGACTATTTCAAATAATCTCATAATTAGTAGCGTCCAATTCACAGCGCTTCTTGTCCAAGTTCAAGTCCCGACAAGCAGTGATATACCCTTTTTCTATTCGCTGCAAAGTAATACATGGAATCCGCGTTATAAATCGCAAATCTAAGCGCCCCATGGTCCTAATCATCATCCATCGATGAGTTCGATCACCAGCTATTGGAACGAAATCAAGTGATCAGAACAGCTTTGCAGTTTAGTTCGTATACCTAGTCATCACTCCTGTGCAATTCAACCAATTCTATCACCGTTCATTCCCTTCTCCCTTAGTCTTCTAAACGATTCACGAAATCTGCAATGATATAACTCTCATTAAAAGGCTTGGTTAAATTCAGTGGGTGTGTTTTAAATGCAAAACAATTGATCACTGAAACCGTATCGGGCTCTCTCTCTCTCAATCTCGTTCAAACTTCCCCGAGTTAATCCAACTCACCTAATCTGAAAGTAGCAATAACTGCACCCCGGGGGTAGGGAGGAGAAGGAACTTACTGCAAGTGAATAGGGAAAACAAAATCCCATGGGCGAAAACGATCCAACACATTGTGATAAAACGGAAGCCGTCTAAGATCTGCAATCGGTTTTCCAACGGTTTGCCACTGCCATCGAAACCGGTATGGTGAGACTCAAACCGGAGTAGGATAATGTTTGCCGGAACCGAATAGATCTGGAGCAGGCGTAAACCCCACGAACGACGATCGAAGAAGTCTGTGATTTGGCGGGGGCGGGGGGAGATTTTGGAGACAAGGAGATCAACTTGAGACTGAC